GGGGGGGGGGGGGGGGGGGGCGGGGGGGGGCCCCCCCCCCCCCCCCCCCCCCCGCTGCAGGAGGGAGCGCTGGCCTGTGGCGGTTTTGGCAGATGAGAGCAGGGGAGGGAACAGAACCAGGGGACAGGGAGCGCCGCGGGGAGCCAGCTGGGGGTGTGGCAAGACAAGAGAGCACGGAGTCGCACCAAGGAGTCCGCGTAAAAGGGAGGAGGGGAGGAGAGCCGTGGGCACGTCTGTTCGGGTAAACACAGAAAGGTGGAGCAGGTCCTTGCCTTCTGCTGCAAAATAACAAAGCTTTCAGAGCTAGGCCCGCTCGACCGGACGGAAGCACGAACCGCGGGAGCTACGGTGAGCCGAGAGAAAGACGCTAAGGAACACCTGCAACGAGAAAACCTTCGGACTGGAAAACACGGAGGGTCTTGTTCAGTCCCGCGTGCCCTCTGGTGACGGATGGCCTGGCTATCGCGCTGGCACCCTTTTCTTCTCACGTCTGTAACACGTCGTGATTGCTGTGTGCGGAAACACCCGTGATGTAGCCCCGAAGACCAGCGGGCAGAATTGTTGTCCCAAGTGGGAGCCACATGGAAACGAGCCCAAGAGCCTCTGGTCCACCGTCGGCTGCCCCAGGCTCAGTTTCTACATGTTCCCCTTCCTTTCGCAAAGCCCCTCTCTTGACACGGACAACGTGTGGCTTTCTTGCTGACGGTTTGACATTGCCGAAACACACACACACACACACACACACACACACACACACACACACACACACGCTTTCATTTTAATATATACAAATAGCCAGAAAGAACCAGCGTGTCAGATCGGACACATCACGGGTGTACGTGCATTTATTTTCTTTCAGACTTTCAGCATTTATTTCCCACCATTTTATTTTAGGCTTAAAAAAAAAACGATGATCCAGCAGGGGCTGCTTCCTAAGCATTAAAAAGCCAGGAAGCAGTGCTGGCAACGCCCTTAGGCCCGCCCCCCCCCCCTTGCCCTTGCTCTCAGCTCGCAATGTCTGCTTCGATAAAATGCCAATTAAAGGTCTCCAGAAATCTCCAGATAACTGATTATTGCTAAGCCTTCTGAGAGAGAGTAGAGGGAGTAGTGTTTTCAGGTGTTCACTGTTAAAAATCTCATTTGAGCAATAGCTTTTCTTCTAATGCCTCAGTGACCAAGGAGATGTCTTCCCGATTCTTCCTTTGCAAAAAAAAAAAAAAAAAAAAGAAGAAGAAGAAGAAGAAAATCATCTTTTTGTTTAGGCCTCCAGAAACAATGCCAGTCATTCAAATATGTTCTCAAGGAGGACATGTACAATAGCACTGTGGCATGTTAAAACAATGGAAAATACATCATTCACGAGTAATCATTAGTCTAACATCAGCTGGTGGCAACTTGCAAACACTGCAGGGTTTAAATTAATAGCAATACAACTAGGAAATGAAATCATTTGTTATTCTTAAGAACCAATTTTATACATTTTATGCCTATGGAACTGCTTTCTGATCTTATTATTTAAAAAATAATGACCAAGACCCATTTATTTTTTGCCAGCCATCAAGTTTTCTAAAATATTGGTCTCAAGCTTGTTTCAATAAGACTCATTAGAATTATATGCTCCATCTGGTTTTTTTTGGTTCTCTTTCCTTGGAAGTTTTATAAAGTGCAACCCCAGATAAATCAGAGTTAACAGGATGATGTATATTTAACAGACATGCTTGCTTACTCATGTGGGGTTTTGTTTTGTTTTGTTTCTTCTTGAAATTTGCAGTTAAAAGGTACCAAGGAATTGGTCGAGACCAACGGCCACAGCCATGAGGACACAAATGTAGGTACCACTGACCCAGTATTTGCTCTTGTTGCTTGATGTTGGTTGAATGCCCACAGGTATGTGGCACTTTATTTATGACACAAAGGAGATCAGAAGTCCTGCCCCTCGGTGGTTTATTAAGATTACTCTGAATGGTTTGGCAGTAAAGTGTGGTAGACAGGCACTGCTCTTGTTAGCTTACATTATCAAATGTCCGTTTTAGAGGTACTTGAGCTAATCTCTACCATAAAAATTCTCATCTAATGACATGTTGGGAGGGCAAATGGAATGAGACCAAACAGGGGGTAATAAGTTGTGTATTGCATGCGTATTTATTGAGTTTGCTGGTCACTGAAGATGGTAATGAAATGATTGCTGTGCCGGAAAGGTTTCAGAGCAGACCCCGTCTCTCAGAAAAGCCCTTGAAAGCGACGCCTCTCTTGTTTCTGACCCAGAACAGGAGCATGGTGCATCCATCTTCTTGATACAAGAGTAATGGTACAAGATCCCAGTTAGCACAGACTTTTTCTCTTAGGGTTCCTTGTGTATCCAGTTGCCCAAGATCAGTCCGGTGTTCTCTCTGCCTTGGAAGTTCTGTAGTCTCAGGTGGAATATTATGCCATGTAGATCATTGTCTCTCCCTATGTATGATGGTTGTGCTTTTGTCTTTTTAAAAATCTCTCTGATATCTGTACGTATTTGATTATCGTCATCACAGAAAATGCTTACTAAGCAGTTCTTTTCACATAACGCAGAATCAGACATGGTAATGAATGCCTGATTAAGCTAGAGCTGGGAGAAATTATACACTTCATGTTCACTCTTGTTTTAATTATATACCGTGGAATGCCTGACATCCAAAGTACCAAAAAAATCCCTCTTTAATAACTACTGTTCCTGCAAAACGGATATTTAACGTATGACGTTTATGGAGAGTCTACTGCGTACGTAGAGCTCTACTACGTGCTGGGGGGCGTGGGGGTGGTTACAGAGAAAATAGAAGGCTTGCTGTCTGCCCTCCGAGAACTTGTAACTGAGTTGGGGATGAGGGAACACACGGGCGATAGACAGGATGTGAAAAGTGTGTCACAAGGGGAGGCAGCTGTGATGCGGTGTAGTTTGAAATCTGGACTTTGCTGCCTATTAACTGTGTCAACTGGGGGCAGGTCAGCACTTCTGAGTTTCATTTTCCTATTTGTAAAATGGATGGCAATGCCTACCTCAAACATGTGTCATGAAGTCGTAACGGGCTGAGGCATCTGAGACATCACTACGATGGTCTCGCGGTGGTGGACAACCGAGAACAGCTTCCCAGATCGGTGGGATTTGGGTTAGCTTTGGAGAACGGAGAGGATTGAGAAAGCAGAGGAGGAAGCCATGCATACAGAGCTCTCCACAGGCAACATTGCCACCTAAATAGTTTCTCTTCCCACTCCAGTATTTCATAAACCCCCGCCTTACCGTGGAGCCTTTTTTCCAGGGTCCTATCCTCCTGGGACACATTGCTGCCGCATTCTCGACCAGAACCTTCACATGCTTCTCCCTCAGAGTCAGTCCCTCTGTGTCTCCTGAGGAAAGCCGCCGTCAAATCCAACAAGGCAAAGTGGCAGGATGCCTCGATTTCCTGGTCTACAAAATGGGGATGATATTACCTGTCTTTCCTTCTTGTAAGGCTTATGGTGAGAAGCAAATGAGATCATGGATGTGGAGGCACTTTGTAATTGTGAGGTTCTGAGCAGGAGGCTGTTATGATTATAAGCTCATCTGTTGGTCGAATTAAATTGACGATGCGTGTGAAGACAGGCCTCACACAATAGCTAGTCCCTCTCGTTTTGAGAAATGTCAAAAGGCATTCATTATTCAATGAAAAAAGTGGAAGGTCATCTTTGAAGTCTTTTATCCTTCCTAGAAGAAAGTTTTTAGCTTTGAAAGAGACCTCTCTAGAATCCAGGGTGTGGGCTGAAAAAGCCCACAATAGAAAAGTCGACAGAAGCAATGGCTGTTGAGAGACAGGGTTGAGGCCAAGTAGGAGGGAGGGGCAGTACTGTGACCAAGGGTGGGTGAGAGGTTTGTGGAATGATGGAGCCCAGCAGCACTTGCCGGTGCCCCCCTCCATGCCCACCTTTCTCACTGGGCCAAAGGTTGGGCTAGTCTCTATAATCACTGCCTATTCTTTTAGGGCTTTCCCAGCAGGTGGATAATCCACGGGTCTTGCTCTTTTCTGTCTGTCATGTTGTCTCCTTTGGGCAGTTCCCTACCACCTTCACTGGGTTATGTGAATGAAAAAAAAAAAAAGTTATTTTGGCCACACATTAGAAGCGCTTGCACAGTATCAGGTGAAGGTTGTTTTAAATGTCTGAAATGAAGTCTCTGTCTCCTCTCAAGTTTCCATCGGCCTTGTGGTGGTTGAAGACATCAGGCTTTCAAACTAGATTGAGAAGGTTTGGGTTCATTTTGATCCCTGAATAGCCTTGTGACCAGGGCAAGTGATTTGACTTTCACCTTCCTCATCCGTAAGAGTGCTCAGGGTACATAAACACTTGGCTTAACGTATCAATTCCCTCTCTTCACCTAGCCACATAAATAGTAGTTGGTATAGAAGGCAGAATTTTGACAGGATGAATTTTTTATGGTTGTTTTTGTTGTTTATTATTTTTTTTTAATTTACATCCAAATTAGTTAGCATACAGTGCAACAATGATTTCAGGAATAGATTCTTTAATGCCCCTTACCCATTTAGCCCATCCCCCCTCCCACAGCCCCTCCAGTAACCCTCTGTTTGTTCTCCATATTTAAGTCTCTTCTGTTTTGTCCCCCTCCCTGTTTTTATATTATTTTTGTTTCCCTTCCCTTATGTTCCTCTGTTTTGTCTCTTAAAGTCCTCATGTGAGTGAAGTTATATGATATTTGTCTTTCTCTGACTGACTAATTTCACTTAGCATAATACCCTCCAGTTCCATCCACATAGTTGCAAATAGTAAAATGTCATTCTTTTTGATTGCCAAGTAATACTCCATTGTGTGTGTGTGTGTGTGTGTGTGTGTGTGTGTGTGTGTGTGTGTGTATACACACACATCTTCTTTATCCATTCATCCATCAATGGACATTTGGGCTCTTTCCATACTTTGGCTGTTGTTGATAGTGCTGCTATCAACATTGGGGTGCATGTGTTCCTCCGAAACAGCACACCTGTATCCCTTGGATAAATGCCTAGTAGTGCAGTTGCTGGGTCATAGGGTAGTTCTATTTTTAGTTTTTTGAGGAACCTCCATACTGTTTTCCCGAGTGGCCACACCAGCTTGCACTCCCACCAACAATGCAAAAGAGATCCTCTTTCTCCACATCCTCGCCAACATCTGTTGTTGCCTGAGTTGTTAATGTGAGCCATTCTGACAGGTGTGAGGTGGTATCTCATTGTGGTTTTGTGTTTCCCTGATGATGAGTGATGTTGAGCATTTTTTATGTGTCAGTTGGCCATCTGGATGTCTTCTTTGGAGAAGTGTGTATTCATGTCTTTTGCCCATTTCTTCACTGGATTATTTGCTTTTGGGGTATTGAGTTTGATAAGTTCTTTATAGATTTTGGATACTAACCCTTTATCTGATATGTTGTTTGCAAATATCTTCTCCCATTCTGTCAGTTGCCTTTTAGTTTTCCTGATTGCTTCCTTCACTGTGCAGAAGCTTTTTATTTTGATGAGGTCCCAGTAGTTCATTTTTACTTTTGTTTCCCTTGCCTCCGGAGACGTGTTGAGTAAGAAGTTGCTGCGGCCAAGATCAAAGAAGTTTTTGCCTTCTTTCTCCTCGAAAATTTTGATGGCTTTCTGTCTTACATTTAGGTCTTTCAACCATTTTGAGTGTATTTTTGTGTATGATGTAAGAAAGTGGTCCAGGCTCCTTCTTCTGCATGTTGCTGTCCAGTTTTCCCAGCACCACTTGCTGAAGAGACTGTCTTTATTCCATTGGATAGTCTTTCCTGCTTTGTCAAAGATGAGTTGGCCATCTGTTTGTGGGTCCATTTCTGAGTTCTCTATTCTGTTCCATTGACCTGAGTGTCTGTTCTTGTGCCAATGACAAGATGAATTTTAATGCAGATCATGAGGTTTAAAGCCTCTGGCACAGAGGTTATTGACTAAGACATATAGATTTTTTTTTCTCTATAATTAGTCACATGGGCAGGAATTTTACATATTATTTATTAATAATAATTATACAGGACTGGTGCAGGCTTAGCTGGATATTCTTATGAGAGTTGACAGTTGCTTTTAAAAACAATATATTTTATTATAAAAGAAGTAGTCTGTATGAAACTGGAAAATCATAGAAAAAAATGCAGAGGTGAAGAAAAATAACTTAACATCTCATTACTCAGAGATAACCACTATTAATATTTTATTTTAGTTTTTTCCAGTCATGTGCATATATATGACCAGAGGGAAAAAGCTATAAATAAATATTATTCATAGTGTCTTCAGTTTTGTACATTTTTGATTTCTCATTATATCATAAATATTTTTCTTGTCACCAAATGTTCCTCAAAGACATGATTCTTAATGGCTGTGTAATGCAGATAGGAAATAATTGAACCACAGACCTATGTGTTCGGCATTTAACTTCCCATTTTTTTACTATTATAAATAATGCTGTAATTAACAGGCCCATAAATCTTGTTCTGCCTCTTTCATATTTGTTTCTGGGGGATACTGTATATTAATAGGCATGTCATGGAGTCTGGCAGGGAGTTTCAGACTTGCAGAATTGTTTAGCATTTAGAATGTCGTGTGGCAGATGGACACTTATGGTAGCCATTAGTGGTCCTGAAGGGACTCATAACAAATATGTCTCGTCTTGCAATTTACTAACCCTCTTGCCTTAGTCCCGAGCGTTGTCCAGCTTATGGGATGTTAACCACACTTAGATTTGACCTGTTACTCTTCCTTTTCTACTGTTTTTATGTTTTATTGAGCCAACAGCAGTCTCTGACCAACACTTTGTCTGCTATTCCTGAGGTCCCCAAAC